ATCTCTGGGTCAAACTTTCATCCTTTTGAATTAGTGTTGAAGGTCATTTCCAGGGACACGCAAGGATGAGCAAGAACATGATTTTGTAGAGGAAAAAAGTTAAAAACGGTGTTCAACCAAACTGCCATTTTTTTCGCTTTCACCCAGAGATACCTATTTTAAACATTAATTATGACAGCCTTGTGATGGAGAGAATGAACAAGTAATTCCCCCACCCACAAGAGATTTTAGTTCCATTGGTGTCCTTATAGATTTTAACATACCAGGTGATGCCATTTTACGATGGACTGCAGAATCCAGAGATCTGTTTCTAGTCAGGGAGAAGGAGACCGGTTAAAAGGAAGTACATTTAATTTCTTACCACTGATTGGGGCATATCCCAAAAGCTGAAGCTGTATGCCCTTGATGGCCAAGCCCAACACACACCCACACGTACACTAAAGCTTCAGACAAATTCATCATGAGTATTACTGAAAAACAACAAAAAGATTAGCAAACAGAATACAGAAAGACACTAAAAGACTACTGAACTAATAACCAACTGGTATTTATTCCATTATTGTCTGTTGTCCATGGGCTATGCATGTGTGCATAAATGTTCTTTGGTTAATCTCTTCGAGTCCTCCCACCCTCTTTCCCTCTGAGATCTGTTGGTCTGTTCCATGTATCCAGGCCTCTGATCCTACTGTGTTCGTCAGTTTATTTTGTTCATTATATTCCACATATAAGTGAGATCATGTATTATTTGTCTTTCTCTGACTGTCTTACTTTGCTTAGCATAATAACCTGGAATAATTTTAGATTTACAGAAAAGTTGCAAAGATAGAACAGTTCTCATACTCCCCTCACTGACCGTTTCCCCTAATGTTAACATCTCACTTAACTATAGCACATTTGTAAAAACGAATAAATTAATATTGGCACAGTTTTATTAACTAAACTATTGGCTTCATTTGAATTCCATTCGCTTTTCCGCCTGTGTCCTTTCCCTGCTCCGGGTCCAGTCCAGAGTCCCTCGTTGCTTGTGGTCATCATGTCTCCTTAATTTCCTTGGATCTCATCTGTAGCTGTCTTACAGTCTTTCCTTGTTAATGACCTTGAGAGTATGAAGAGTCCTGGTTGGGTATGTTGTAGAATATCCCTCTAATCTGGTATTTTTCTCATGAGTAGACTGGGAATACAGGGTCTTGAAAAAATTAGCACAGAAGTAAAATGTCCTCACCATGAGAAAGTATCAGATTTTGATTTCATTCATTAGTCCTACTATTTTTCTCTTATCAAATTCAAGGATACAGCTTCATTTTTAATGTAGGCTTTCTTTCCTTCTACCTTTCTTGGATTTATTTTGCTGTCCTTTTTCTCACTTCTTGTTTTAGATATTTATTTATTGTTATTCTTTCTGGTTTATTATTCTGAGTATTTAAAGTTATGGATTTTTCTCTTTACCCTGTTTTCGCCATATGCTCTAAGTTCTAATCTATAGTATTATCAATATTCTGTAATTTCTGTATTAATTTCCTCTTTGAATCCAAGAATTCTTTAAAGTAGAATAGCTTGTTTGTTTGTTTGTATTTTTTTAATCCTCACCTGTGGCTATTTTTCCATTGCTTTTCAGAGACAGTGGAAGAGAGAGAGAGAGAGAGAGAAAGAAACATCGATGTGACAGATGACAAACAGTAGGTTGATTTTTGTATTTGTTTCATAAGTTCCGTATTATTTTCTAATTTTTTTTTGCATTGTGATCAGAGGATATTTCTGCTATTTCTGCATTTTGAGATTTATACAGAAATTTCTAGCCTAACATATGGCTATCTTTTATGAGTATACCTTTTTGTGAGCATTAGAAAAAAAGATATGTTCTTTGTTTCATGGATAGAAATTGATATATGGGTCTCTCACACACCTATACACCTATACACACACACACACACACATACACACACACACTTACCTTTGTCTTTACTCTTTCTTGTATACTTATTTCTATGAGTCCTTAATAGCATCACGATGACAGAGGTGAGTTAGTCTTCTATTACTAATGCTGCAAAGGAGTATTTTGTATTAGTACATAAACCAGTAACTTTCCTATAGTTTTGTTGTGCTTTATCAATTCTGATGCTACTATGTTATGTGGTATGTAGATTGTATTAATTTTCTATTGCTGTGTAATGAACTACCACAAAGTTAATGGCTAAAAAAACTACCCATTTATCATTTGACAGTTTCTGTAGGTCAGAGGGTCAGGCTCTGTTTAGTATTTTAAATAAATGGAATGCAGTGCTTATTCACATGACTGGAATCAAGTGGTTGTCATGGACTGCTATCTCATTTGACACTCAAGATCCTCTCCCAAGGTCATTTAGGTTGTTGGCAGAATTCAGTTAAAAATCTCACAAGATTAAATGTATACATGAAGAAATTATAGGACAGATCTAGAATTTTCCCCATGATACAACTTTTCCTCTTCTATGTTTTTACATGTGTATGATTTATTTTAATAAATAAATTGTGACCAACATTTTTAACTGATATTTAAACTACTTAGCCTCATGAGCTTTCCACTACCTGATGGATTTTTCTATTTCATTGAGGAAAATGAAAAGTTTTCTGGATGGGAGTTCAGTTTCAGAGCTAGGATGCTTGGGGGAAGACCAAACGTTGGTGGGTGTCAACTTATGGGT